GGGGGGGGGGGCAGGAGGGAAAGGCTGGGGGTATGGCAGGGTCTGGATGGTGTTCTGTCCTGAGAGAGGCTTTGGGCAAATTTTAAGGTGCTTCACTGGAGAGGGAATGAAGGCATTGATTCGGAGGAAGGCAGCGGGGGCAGTTAATGAGGGTTTGAGGGCTCAGAGGTGTCCTAGGGAAGGGAGAGCACTTCTAGGAGGTTGCAGAAGAGTGGGAAATGGAGAGGGAGGCTGAAGGGCAGAGGTGAGAAGAAATGCCGGGGGCTTCTGAACAAACAGAGTGTCAGGGTTCGCTGAAATGGGAATGAGTATTGGGGTTCAAGAACCTTGGAAGGCTCATAGCTCAGGACACGGCTTGAGAGGAAGCAGTTTTAGGCACTAGGAGGGATTTTAAGGCAGTAGAGGGGGCCGTTAGAAAAGCCCTTGGAGAGTTCAGTGGGAAGTAAAGGGCATTAATGATCTTGAGAGTAGAGAGCAGTCTGAGGGAAGGGCAGGGAGAGCTTGGGGGGAGGAGGACAAGACCCCCTGAGCAGGAAATGAGGAGGAAGAGGTGCAGAGTGAATGCTTGGGGAATTGGGACGGAAGGTGGAAGATGGGAGGTGAGAGCCAGCAAGGGCTTTGAGGCAACTGAGCGGTGTTTCTGGACTCAGATGGGCATGAGGTGTGGGAAATGGGTTTCAGGGGCTCAGAAGGTCCTCTGGAGCTGGGAAGGGGGTCTCCTGGAGGGATTTTGACCTAGCAGAAGGGCTTTGGGGGAGTTGAACTGTTGGCATTGGAAGGGACGTTCCGGAACAAGAGAAGAGGTGCAAGGGCTGGTGAATGGCATTTGGGAACTAGGAGCCACATCAGGGCAGGGCAAGGAGCTTTGGAGGGACTTGGGGTGAGGGCAAGGGGGAGATGGACTGGGGTTGGAGACCGTTGAAGGATGAGGAAGGGTCTGGGGTGAGACAAGAGAGGACTGATTTTTTGTTTTTTAATGTTTATGTGTTTAGAGTGTATGTGCAGGCAAGCAAGGGTGTGGGGGCAAAGAGAGAAGGAGAGAGAATCCAGCAGGCTCTGCAATGTCAGCGCAGAGCCCGGTGCAAGGCTCGATCCCATGAACTGTGAGATCCTGACCTGAGCGGAAATCAGGAGTCAGATACTTAACTGACTGAGCCACCCACGCGTCCCCAGAGAGGACTGGTTTTAATGGGGAGTGGGGGCGGGGGAGGGGGACATTGAGTAATGCTACAATATAAGGGACAGAAGGGGAGAGTATTTCGAGACTGGGAAGAGGGGTGGGGACAGAGCACCACGTTTGGGTGGGAAGGCTTATTAGGACACTGGAGAGAGAAGTTAAGGGAATAGTCTTCCTTTGGCCTCCTCAGGCAGAGGTGGGTATTAAAAGTCCCAGAGCGGGGCGCCTGGGTGGCTCAGTCCGTTAAGCGTCCAACTTCGGCCCAGGTCATGATCTCACAGCTCATGAGTTCGAGGCCCTGCATTGGGCTCTGTGCTGACAGCTCAGAGCCCGGAGCCTGCTTGGCATTCTGTGTCTCCCTCTCTCTGCCCCTCCCCCGCTCACCCGCGCGCTCGCGCTCTCTCTCTCTCTCTCAAAAATAAA